GTGTGTGTGTGTGTGTGCGTGTGTGTGTGCGTGCGTGTGTGTTTGTTCCTGCACGCACGAGTGAGTGCATGCCAAAGTCTTTTCCGTGTTTTCACTCCTGCCACCCTCACGTTACCCCCCCCCCAACTTTTATTACTGCCACCAGCTGAACCAGGAGCAGTTTGACCAGCAGTTCAGCCTGGCCAACCCGAGCGTGAATGCGGACATGGCGCAGGTGACGCAGCCCACCATGCTGCGCGGCCACCTCAAGGAGTACCAGCTCAAGGGCCTCCAGTACGTCGCCTGCTGCCGCTTTGTTTGTTTGTTTGTTTGTTTGTTTGTTTGTTTGTTTGTTTGTTTGTTTGTTTGTTTGTTTGTTGGCCGAACCCACGTGCTTCTGCCGGCAAACCACCCGTATTTCTTGCACTTTCCCTTCCTTTTCTTCCCATCAACCTTTTCGCTCACCTTCCTCTCCAACAACTAACTCGCCCCTTTTTCTCACATACACACACGCACACACCATACACACACACACCCTCTCTGTGTGTTCCTGTAGGTGGTTGGCTGGTCTCTATTCGCAGGGCATCAACGGCATTCTTGCTGACGAGATGGGGCTCGGCAAGACGGTGCAGTCCATTGCCACGCTCGCCCACCTTGCCGAACGCGAAGACATCTGGGGGCCCTTCATCGTCGTCACCCCGGCCTCCACCCTCAACAACTGGTGCAACGAGATTGTCAAGTTCTGCCCAGACTTCAAAGTCATCCCATACTGGTGAGTTTTGTGTGTGCCTGCATGCATGCATGTATGTATGATATATGCATGCATGCTCTTTCCATCTGTGTGGTCCCTCTCTCCAATACCAACCTTGTATCATCTCACCCACCTGCAACCCCTCCCCCCTCCTTCACACACACCCGCGCACGTCAACACGCACACGCCAACACGCACAGGGGCTCGCAAGCGGAGCGCAAGCTGCTGCGCACGTTCCTGAACCCGGCGCGCATGTACACGCGCGACGCCGACTTCCACGTGATGGTGACGTCGTACGACATGGTAGTGCGGGACGCAAAGTACATTGGCAAGGTCAACTGGCAGTACATGATCCTGGACGAGGCGCAGGCGATCAAAAGCTCAAGCAGCCACCGCTGGACGACGCTGCTCAAGTTCAACTGCAGGAACAGGCTGCTGCTCACAGGCACGCCCATCCAGAACACCATGGCGGAGCTGTGGGCGCTGCTGCATTTCATCATGCCCACGCTGTTTGACTCGCACGCGGAGTTCAACCAGTGGTTCTCCAAGGACATTGAGAGCCACGCCGCCAACAGCAACACGGAACTGGACCGCACGCAGCTGTCGCGATTGCACATGATCCTCAAGCCGTTTATGCTTCGCCGCGTGAAGAAGAACGTTGAGCACGAGCTACCTGGCAAGACCGAGGTGATGATGCACTGCCACCTGACGGCAAGACAGAAACGCCTGCACCGCCGCCTCCGCGCCAACCTCAACATTGACCAGCTGGTCGTGGCATCGTCGTCGCGTGGTGGTGGTGGTGGACGGCGTGGTGGTGGTGGTGGCGGCGCGGATCGTGATGTGGAGAAGCTGTTGAACCTCATGATGCAGTTCCGAAAGGTGTGCAACCACCCCAACCTGCTCAACCGGCGTATCATGCGCACGTCGTTTGTTGTCGAGGCGCCGCGCTGGCGTCGCGGCCACGAGCCCCTGGAGGCGATGCCCCTCGTCGCCTACACCACCGCCACCGCCCTCCCGTGGACCATGCCCAGGCTCCTCTTTGAAAACATGCCCGCGCGCGCCGTTGCGCCGGGCGAGATGGGCCACCGCCCCTTGTTGGCGCAGGCGTGCGGTGTGCACAGTGCTGCACATGTGCTTGCAGGCATGCTTGGGGAGGCGTGGCCTTTGTCCCGCAGTCCACGCAGCCGGAACGCAATGATGATGATGATGATGAAGATGAAGGAAGACGGGACAGAGGAGAGCACTGGCAGTGTTACTCGTGGTGATGGTGGTGGCGGCGTGCGAATGCGTGTTCGCGCTGATGAATGTGCGGAGAGCAGCCTACATGGGTGTCTGTTGTTTGCGGGGGTGAGCCCGCAGGACGTGGAAGACACGATGACGGCGAGTAACAGCCAACTGCTACTGCTGGCGCAATTGGCGCTCGCACACGACCACGCCAGGAAGCAGCGCTATGTCCTCACCAGCGGCCGAGACACAACCACTGCTGATGATGGTGATGGTGATGGTGTTCGTGGTGGGCGTGGGAATGCGAGTGTCGATAGCAGCAGCGGTGGTGGCAGGGGTTGCGGGGTGTGGAGCGGGCCTGTGCTGGCGCTGCCACCGCGTGGTGTTGAGATGTTTGACGACAGTACGATTCTCGCACCGCGACGGGCCATGATGGCAGCAATCACCACGGCCTGGAAACACACGGACTTTTATGTTCCAAAGGTGCGCACGGCGTCAGTGTGGTGGGGGGGGGGGGTTGTGTTGTGTTGTGTATGTGTGTCTCATGTGGTGTATATATCTGTGTGTGTGTGTGTGGTGTCTGTGAGTGGCGCATTCCTGCAGCATTTGCTTCACCACCATCCTTCTCACCATCCTTCTCATCCCCCCCCCCTTCTCCTCGCCATCACGGCTGCAGGCGATTGCGCCGCCGCCGCTGCCGTTGTGCTCGTCCCCGGCGTATGCGCGGGCGATTGCACCGCTGCTCACCGCCGACAACGACCCCTTCACCGCCGCCCTCACCCGCTCCATCAGCCCGGCGCGGGTGAAGTTCATGTGCTGTCTGGCTGTGTTGGGTGTGTGTGTGTGTGTGTGTGTGTGTGTGTGTGTGTGTGTGTGTGTGTGTGTGTGTGTGTGTGTGTGTGTGTGCCTGTGTATACGTGTGCACGTGTGTGTGTGTCCACCTGTCTCTGATATTCGTCTGTCAATGAGTGTTCATTTTTCTGTTGTGCGCTTCCCTGTCATCACGCCCCTCACCACCACATCCCGTCTACTTTCCCTTCCTTCCCGCCGCCACCACCGCCACAGGTGTGCACGCGTCGTGCCGCCCTGTACGCAACAACAACAACGACGGCGACGACAGCAACACCGACGGTCGATGGCAACTGGCTCGAGGCATCAAAGCCGGAACACGGATGGATCAGATGCTTCCACCCTTGTGAGCATTGGCGACTGGTGATTTTGGTGCTGCTGGTGATGATGACACGTGTGTGTGCGTGTGTGTGTGTGTGTGTGTGAATGTGTGTGTGTGTGTGTTGTAACACCCTCCTCCTCTTCCTCCTCACCTGTTCGTCATCTGCTCCACCCCCTCCCCACTCTTCCCTTCAGCGATGGACGACCTTGTTCGGGACTGCGGGAAGCTGCAGGCTCTTGACCGGCTGTTGAGTCGTCTGAAGAAGGAGGGCCACCGCGTCCTCATCTATTCCCAGATGACCCGCATGATCGACATCCTCGAGGTGCATCTCTCACGGGTTCTGTGTTTGTGTGTGTGTGTGTGTGTGTGTGCGTGTGCGTGTGTGTGTGTGTGTGTGCGTGTGTGTGTGTGTGTCTGTGTCTGTGTGTGTGTGTGTGTGCGCGCACATGCCCCCCCCCCCCAACACACTTGTTGCTTCCGTTTCCTCGCCTCGTCCCCCTCACCACCGCCACCGCCCAACGCCACCTGGTGTGCAGGACTTTATGACGTACCGCAAGTACAAGTACATGCGCCTCGATGGCTCCTGCAAGATCAGCGACCGCCGCGACATGGTCGCAGACTTCCAGTCGAGGTGTGTGTGTGTGTGTGTGTGTGTGTGTGTGTGTGTGTGTGTGTGTGTGTGTACGGCTGCCTGCCTCCCTGCTTGCTTGTCCATGCTTGTCTGTGCCTGCTTGATCATTTGTCACACACGCGCGCTTTGCTCACACCATGTCTCCAACACTCAACCCCACTCCCTAATGCGTCCTGATCACCACCGCCACCACCAGGGACGACATCTTTGCGTTTATCCTGTCGACGCGTGCCGGCGGAATTGGCATTAACCTGACGGCGGCAGACACGGTCATCTTTTACGACAGCGACTGGAACCCGACCGTGGACCAGCAGGCCATGGACCGCGCACACCGCCTCGGCCAGACACGCCCGGTACGGATTGGAGGGTTGCTGGTGCTGCTGGTGCTGGTGCTGCTGCTAGTGGTGCTGGTGCTGGTGACGGTGCTGGTGCTAGTGCTGGTGACGGAGATGAAGGATGCGGTTTGCTCACTCTGTCGCGGACTGTCCACTCACCATCACACACACACACACACACCATCACACACACCATCACACACACCATCACACACACACCATCACACACACACACACACACACGCACACACACACACACACACAGGTGACTGTGTATCGGCTGATCACGAAGGGGACGGTTGAGGAGCGTATTCTGCACCGAGCGCAGGAGAAGAGCAAAGTGCACCAGCTGGTGATCCAGGGTGGCGGGTTTGCACCAGAGAAGCTCAAGTCAAAGGAAGTCGTCTCCCTCCTCCTTGATGACGAGCTCGAACGAAAGAGTCAGTTGCACACGCGGAGAGAGAGAGAGAGAGATGTGTGTGTGTGTGTGTGTGTGTGTGTGTATCTGCTGCCGTCATTGCCTGTTCCCTGTCCCTCTTCCTTCTTTGCCTCTTTCTGTTTCTCCTGCCTGCTCAGCGTTCCTCTTTGCCCTTCACCTCTCACGTCCTCATCTCCACCGCCCTACAAACCCGCAACCCCACCATCACCGCCAGTGGAAGAGGAGCGAGCAAAGGCGGAGCAGAAGAAGCAGGAGAAGCAGAGCAAACGCAAGGACCGCAGCAAGAAGACGCCAACGCCAACACCAACACCAACACCGGCCGGTGCTGGGAACGCCACCGATGATGACAATGATGACAAGGGCAGCGGCGATGCAGGGAGCACTCGTGGCCGTGGTCGCGGTCGTGGTCGTGGTCGTGGTCGTGGCCGTGGAAGAGGGACAGGTACAAGGAGAGGAAGAAGTGGGACAGGGGGAGAGAGGGGAAGGGGAAGGGGAAGAGGGACTCGGGGCAGCGCGAGCACCGGTGCCGGGAGAGCACGGGGAGGGAAGGCGGCAGATGGAGGGAGTGGCAGTAGCAGCAGCCGAGGTACACGCGGCACACGGGGCGCACGGGGGAGAGGAAAGGGAAGTCGTCACCGGTCAAGTTGAAGATCACGCTCGGTCCTCCAAAGACGACAACAGGCGGCGATGGCGCGGATGGCGACAACACCTGCAGCAACGCCAACGGTCCCAACAGCAAGTGCGCCAACAGTGCCAACAGCACCTGCTGCTGCATCGTCGTCGTCACCGGTCAAGTTGAAGATCACGCTCGGTCCTCCAAAGACGACAACAGGCGGCGATGGCGCGGATGGCGTGGCCACGAAGAAGCCAAAGCTTGCAGAGTGACTGTGTGTGTGTATGTGTGTGTGTGTGTGTGTGTGTGTGTGTGTGTGTGTGTGTGTGTGTGTGTGTGTGTGTGTGTGTGTGTGTGTGTGTGTGTGTGTGTGTGTGTGTGTGTGTGTGTGTTTGTCTTGGCGTGCAGGTCACGCGCGTGATGTTCTTTGCTGTGCGGGTCTGTCTATTGCGACGACAGCGCTCCTCTTGTGTTAGTTACCATGCGTATCTGAATTGTGTGCTGCTTCCCTCCCTTGTGCTTCCTCAAGCCACGATTGTGCATATGCCCGTGCTTGCGTCTCAGTCCATACAAGAGTCACACCACACAAATGGGCGGGTTTGTTGTGTACTGGATGGAGGTGGTGGGAGGAATTGGTTATGCCAAGCGAAAGGCGGAGGAGGAGGAGGAGTAGGGAAGTGGTTCTGGACAAGACACAGCAACACATGAGATGGACAGACAGACATGCAGATATAGGACAGGGAGGCGGTGGCAAACGCTTGGATGGCTATTGACAACAGTGGCAGTGTTCGTCCAACAAAGTGCAGCAAGTGGGGGTGTGGGGAGGAGAGAGAGGAGGTAAAGTCGAATGAAACGACGCGACGCGGTGGCGACGTGGTGGGTGCACGACGAGGAACGAGACCGACTGGTGTTTTTGACTAATACCGAGCACAGCAGGGCAGATGCAACAGGATGCATGGTGCAACGTGGCGTGGTACGGCGTGCACAGAACAGCACAGCGCGTTTATGCATGTGAATGTTCACACGTGTGCACACACGCACACACGCACGCAACATGGATGCACGCTACTCCTGGTCCTGCGGGGGCGCGTTGGCCTGTTTGAGCTGATCGAGGCCCTCAACAAACTTCTCTGGCGGAACAACGGCGTCTTCGTCGAGGTAGACGGCAAAGAGGGCGCGCGGAATGGCTTCGCTCTTGATGCCCATCTCCGCGTGGTGCTCGTGACGCTCGCCCTCTGCGTACGTGGTCAGCACGCTGCCATCCCAGTGGAACCCGAGCAGCATGCCGTCATATGCGGGACCGTCCAGGAAGTCGTGCAGCGCGTCAATGAAGCCGTCGAGTGCGCCCTTCTGGTTGTCGGGCATGCGGGGCTCCATGGACTCGCGGATGCTGGCAGTGATGGTCTCCCGCTCCACGGTGCGGCAGAACTTGAGCTGCAGCTCCGCCTCGACCGTGCCCTTGAGGATGTCTGTTGGGGCATTCAAGCTGGTTGCCTCGCTCTCCGCCACATACAACCCAACGCCATACACGGAGATGAGCCCAAAGCGGCGCCTGCAATTGTGTGTGTGTGAGAGAGAGAGAGAGTGTGTGTGTGTGTGTGAGTGAGTGAGTGAGAGCTGGTTCAAGGGAGAAGGCGGTAGGAGCAGGGTTCAGGGCACACACATGCACACAACACAACACATACGCACACAACACAACACATGCACACAACACAACACATACGCACCTGCACGCAACACAGCACATACGCACACAACACAACACATACGCACCTGCACGCAGCACCAATGAGAGCACCAGGCACGCCACTGAACATGCTAATGTGTCGAAGAAAGGACTTGCCAGAGTCCCTGTCAACGACTTGCTCGTCATCTGGGTTGACGCTGGTGCTGTTTGGGTTGAGCGGCTCGTGGATGGGCTCACATGCCGCATGCGCAGGCACGCGCATCAGACTTGCAGACGGCGACGCGGCAGACGTGGCAACTGCGGCAGCCGCAACACCTGCACCAGCAACCGTTGCTGCCGCACGTGCAAACAACCGTGCAAACGCCATCTCAACGGAGGGGATGTACGTGTGTAGGAGGAATTGTGGAAGCAGGAAGGAAGAGAGAGAGAGACAGCTGAGCCGCTTGGTGGTATCGTGTGGTTGTGCTCTGTATGTGGTTGGTGCGGTCGGTGCCTTGGTTGTGTATCCGAGCGTGCGTGGTGTCAGCAGCAAGAAGCAGCAAGAGAGAGAGAAAAAAAAAACGAAGAACGAAGAAGAAAAAAGCTGAAGCAGCTGCTTTGCGTGTGCGTGTGTGTGTGCACTCCTTCTTCTCTTTCTTCTTGTCCTCCTCCTTCTCGCTTCCAGTTCCTCACAGTCGCTTCCTCGCCTGCTAGCTTCCTCGCTTCCTTCCTGTGCCTCTCCTCGTCTCGCTCTCGCGTCCCTTCTTCTCAGCTCTCAGAACCTCGTTTTATTCCATAGATTCCATGGACGTCTGGACGTGTTCATTGATCAGATTGATCGCGTCATGTGCTCCTCCAGTCCACTTCCCGTCTTGCAATCTTCATCCATCTATCCATCGTCCATCGTGATGGTTCTTGTTGCTTCCCGGCTCGCCAGCCCATCTCGCAGCAACTCCTTCGTCGTCGCAATCGGTGGAGCGTTGAGGTGAAGCGGTGAGGTGAGGTGCTGAGGTGAGTTGCCATTCATTACGTCGTGGTATGTAAATGCAGGAGAAGATGAGCGCATGTGTCGTGTGACCCCAGGACCCCAACAGACTAACAGAACACCATGCCCCCCTTACCTCCCAATCCCACACCACAGCAGCGCTCACAACAGCAAGCACACAACAACACACAAAAGGGGAAGCAGCAAATCATATCCCCACCAGCCCACCTGTTGTCGCTCGCGAAAGTACTCGTCCCACTGCGCGTTGATTTGCTGGAAACAAACATGGTGGCAGAGTGCAGGACAAGGATTTCAGAGGGGGGTGTTGATGCAAGCGTGATGTTAACAACTGCCACTGGCAACTGTGCGGCTGAGCACACACGGGGCCGTTGAAGCATTCACAGCAAGCACAATAACACATGAACCGTGACAAGTGAACACACACTCAGTGCAGCACACAATGGCGGACATGGCACACTGCACAGGGCACACTCACACGCACACACACACACATACAAACACACACACACACACACACACACACAAACACAAACAAACACACACACACAAACACAAACACATACAAACTCACACACACACTCACACACACACGCACGTACACATATACACACGCGCACACGCGCACACACACACACACACACACGATATGCTCACCGGTTGCAGCCAGGTGACCTGAAGACCGCTGGCCAAGTCGCCACCACGTGGCCACCACCCATTCACTCCATCTCCACCACCACCACCACCACCGTGCCCGTCGAGCGGCTGCACTGTCGGTGCATTCTTGACGCTGCGGCGAAGCCGTTCAAGGGACGCCCGATATGCGATGCTCTCCGTGAGCATGAGCTCTGTGCTGCGTCGCTCCAGTTTCCGATGCTGCTGCTGGTGTTGTCGCTGCTGGAAGGCCGGCTCTGCCTTGAGCTGATCGATCATGCGCTGCCGCCTCAGCTGCGCCGATGACGAACGCGCCCCTGAGCTTCCCTCCTCCTTTGCTGCCGATGGCGAGTCGAGGTTGAAGCGCTCCAACATCGTCTTTGATGTGTTGTGCTTCGTGTCATCATCGTCAGCGACTACGCTCACACCCTGACCGCCATTATCACCGTTGGTTGCCATCGCAACTTCTAGCTCACCACCTTTCCTGGGCGATGCATGACCTCGTGTTCTGCGGCTCCCTCGAGCAGCTGTGTTAGTTGCTGGTTTTCTTGTCGTCGTTGTTGCTGCTGCTGCTGCTGTTGTTGCTGTTGTGGTTGTGGCGAACGTGCGGCTCCATGGCAATGATGATGATGACGATGATGAGACTGTGTTGTCGGTGGGAACTACCAGCCGTGTTGTCGAGTCGCCGACATGCCTGAAGGTCCCGATACTTTGAGCAAAATCTGTGTCAGCTGTGATACCCACAGCATCTATCGTAGCACCAATGCGCACACGTGAGCTGAACAGAAGACGTGTTGTCAACAGGGAAGAGGGGTCAAGGCCTATTCAGTGCGGGCAGCAAGCACACGTGCACAAACATAAGCACACACTGCACACAACTCACAAGCACAAGCGCACAAACGAGAACACACTGCAAACAAATCACAAGCACCCCTTGCACAAACACAAACACACACTGCACACAAGTACGCCACAATCACACACACACACACATCACCATCAAGCCATCATGATCACAATGCCAGGGGCGAACGCACGTCTGAGGGAGGCATCTGGGATGAAGCGGTGGCTGTTGAAGCAAAACCAGAGGAAGGCGCGCTTTTCATGGGTGTGGAACTGCTTGGACTGCGCTACCTCTGTGAGGAGGGCGAGCAGCCGCCGAAACAGCTCAATGGCATCGTGCCACGCAGCCACATGTGCAAACTGGTGTGAATCAATGTCCTTTGCGCGCGTCTCAAAGGTATCCAGCGTCTTGATCAGGTACGAGAAGTGCTGGCATGGCGCATGCCTTTTCCCCGCCTCCTGCAAGAACTCCAACTGTTCTCTTGATACAACCACATGCGTTCTTGCTGACGCCAGCATATCGCGCGCGCACGTGTGTGTGTGTGTGTGTGTCTGTGTCTGTGTGTGTGTGGACTTGCTGATGTCTGCGTGTGTGTGAGTGGATCTATGCGTGTAGGAATGTGACCGGGTGTGCAAGTGTGGGTGTGCAGATGCTGGCTTGCGTGTGCTGGGCTTGTAACTGTGTTTGTAAGGGTGGTAGCTTGCGTGTGCTGGGTCTGTAGCTGCTGTGGTTGTTTTAAGGGTGCTAGCAACCCTTGCTTTTGTTTCAAGTGGTTCGCAGCGCCAGGGTGTGGTGAGAATTTCAGAGCAAGATATTTACCAATTCTCTACAACCGTGGTTGAGTCTGCCAGATTATGGTCAGCAATCGATGCTGGTGAACGCTGGTGCTGGTGCTGAGATGTGTTGTGTTGTGCTGGAGTGTTGTGTTGGTGACCACGAGACAGGATGCATTCCGGGGTTTTGCTTGCTGGGAGCAAGCACAAAGGACAGCCTACGTTCAATGGCATCGCCCAACACCTGAAACGACAACAAACCAACCAGCCAACGCGAGTTTCTCTTTGGCAGCCTCCATTTTCCTCGCCAACCAAGCAAGCGCAGCAAGCACAGCAAGCACAGCGCACAAGAACAAAAGCACCATCCTCATACACGCACCACTCTGCTCCGCCGCAGCTGTGATTCTTGTCGACAGAGAAGTGAGTAGGCAGGCACTCCAAGGCCTCACGTGTGCTTTCATTCCAGACGACAACAAAACAACAGCGGCATGCTGTCATCCAATCGCCCTGGCGGAGTCGTCATGTCAAGCGCCAGCCCACGGCAGAAGGCGCCGACAGCGGTGGCTGCATCTCGTGGTTCCCATGGCTCTCCATGCTCGCCGCTGCGCGCCTCAAGCCTTCGCCGCAACACATGCCCAGCTGCCGTGCGCAATGACAACACGCGCGAGCCTCGCAACAGCCACACCACCAGTAGCAGCAGCATTGGCAGCAGCACCAGCACCAGCACCAGCACCAGCAGCTACGACGCCGAGGAGGCAGCCATCATGGCAGAAGAGGCGGAGAACTCGTTTCCATCAGCGCCGGTTGTGACGAAGCGCATGCCAAAGCTCCAGCGCAAGCCGAGCCCGTTTCCAGGCACGCTGGAGCGCAAGCTTGCCGAGCTGAACAGCAACATGGGCGGCACCGTCGCCTGCAAGGAGGACGAGGGCGTCTGCGCACCGCCCAACACCCCCGCCAGCCGCGGATGCGACACCGCGGTGCCATCAACAGCGCCAGGATACCAGCAAGGCCAGCGAGGTCAGCAGCAGCCACAAGGGTTGCCACGGTCGCAGGTGCTGAGGGCCATGAGGCGCAAGGCGAAGAAGCCGCAGTTTGCACCGAACATGCTCTCCATCAACGAGGACGAGGACGAGGTGGCCCAGGAGTGACGCCATTTGTGTGTGTGTATGTGTGTGTGTGTGTGTGTGTGTGTGTGTGTGTGTGTGTGTGTGTGTGTGTGTGTGTGTGTGTGTGTGTGTGTGTGTGTGTTTGTGACCTGCAGTCGCCCTATCGGACTCCTTGTGTGTCTCAAATTGTCACATTGAGACACTGCGTTGCAATGCACAAGACAACCATTCCCGTTTCATTGCCCCGCGTTATATTTTGCCATCATCGCACTATGCCACAAAAAGTGCCATTAAACGAATGCCAACAACACATGGCACAGCAGTTACGCGCGCTTGTGTGCGTAGGTGTGTGTGTGTGTGTGTGTGTGTGAACGTGGTCAGATGACCTCATCTTGGATCATCTGCTCAATGGCGTCTGCTACGCCGTCACGTGCCAGACTGCGCGCTTTGTCGCTCAACTCCAGCGCCAGCATCAGCCGCTGCTTCCGCCTGTGTGTGTGCGTGTGTTTGTGTGTATGTGTGTGTGTGTGCGTGTGTGTGTGTGTGCACATGTGTGTGTGCACATGTGTGTGTGAGTGTATGTGTGTGTGTATGTGAGTGTGAACGACATCATGATGTACAGTCAGGCAGTGCACACACAGGCTGTCCGTTCGTATCCATGGGCTCACGTGCAGTCGAGTTGTGGAAGGGAGAGGAGCATGGGAATAATGCTAGCGTCATCCTGCACACATACACACATACACGCACAACCAGGAGGGAGAGCGCAGTGTGTACAGACGTGTGAACCATGGGTGAATGCGAAACAAACATAAGTCACTATGCGTATGTGTGTGTGTGTGTTTGTGTCGTGGAATCAGAGACAAGGAGACACATGCAACATGCAACATGCAACACCAACAGCCGCAACCTTGTCCACGACGCAACAACATTCACAGCCCACCCGTCAAACCCATCAGCCGCATCAAACGCAGCCACCATGGGTACGCACGCACCGTGTTGCTGCTGAGGGCGGCGCTGATGGCCGCCTTCATCGACTCTGGTGACGACAACGATGACGACGATATTGTTGATGGTGCTGACGTTGATGTTGATGTCGATGTTGATGCTGTTGTTGACGTTGATGGTGTTGATGTTGATGTTGACGTTGCCACAGAAACCTGAGCAGTTGGCGAGGCGGGTCAACAAGTCAGTGACGCTGTTTGCACAACCTCAATCATCAAAGCCAAGCGCAACACACAGGTACACAAACACAGACGGACTCACACACACACACACACACATACACACACAAACGCATACACACACAAACGC